GTGTTGGTTGACCGGATGTTGGGTACAGAATCAAGGGTAGTTTTTGAGGTCCATGTGCCACAAGGATGGATGAGTTTGCCACGAAGGGACCTGGTGGGGGAGCTGGTGTGGGAAGGGCAGGAGCTCGGGCCGGGCCATGAGAGGTCTGAGATGTCCACCAGCGACATCACGCCGGCTCTGGACATACAACGTGGAGTGGGCCGGGGAGGAGACACAAACCGGGGAAAAGATGCACTAAGACAAGATTCATCTAGAGAAGTCGCTGGACTTAAAAGATTTCATTCTCTTTAATTCTGTCCACTTTGGAAACAATGATGTCAATGAACTATTTCTCTATATACCTCTATTTGCCAGATCCTTTTTTTATATAAGAAATTCTGCCTGATTAAGGGTCTCTAGTTAATAAAAGTTCTTTGCATTTCAGAAGTTTACCATTTTAAAACAAGCAGTACATATTGGATAAGTATCAAGACAGAAGAATAAAAAAATGTTTTAAAAATAGTAAGGTACGTTAAAGTATGACCAAGCCGTGTTTCCTCTGCTGGCTGCATTATGCTGGAGGTCAGAGACGAGAGCAGGGTGGTCCCTCCGTGCCATCTGTCAGCCTCAGCACCCGTGAGTCTGCACCAACCCTGGCAAGGTGCCACACTAGCCAGGACTCTAGGGGGGGCGGGGCACTGCTTCTGATGCAGCAGCAGCAACATGCCTTCCTGTTAGCACCTGGAATTCAGCTCTACCTCACCCAGTATCTACACAAAGAACTGTTTATATACTTCCAAGAAATAAAAGAAATTTATATAACAAAATTAGAATACTATGGCTGAAAAGCAAATCCACAGGCATTAGATTTCTAATACCTTGCTAAATGCCAGACTTAGAAAAGATTAAAACCAACAAACCAACAAAAAAAACAGCAAACAAAAAAATTCTAGAAAAATCCAGATAGGTGAAACATGTGCTTTATTATTCATTGCTTTAAAAAAATGGCTAACATATAACATGGCTATCATCAGTTTAACATTTTTAAAAAATCCAATCATAACATTACTCCCTTTCTATATAGTGGCTATAAATTTATAGCTTGTGGAATTAAAATTACTGAGGAATAAAAAAATGAGAACCCAAAATAGATGGAGGTGAAATATGTCTGGACCATTGCCCACGACTGAGAACCTCAATGTCGAGTCCACTGTCCATCACATCATTTGGAGGCAGTTTCTTTGTAACAGTTTTCAGAAGTTATAATATTAAATTCCACTCCAGAAACCTTTCTCAGTGGAAGGAATAAAAAAAGAAAATTCAGAACAACTCCCCCCACCCCTCCTACCCCACCCCCTGGCCAAATTCTTGTAGGTTTACTGATCAACATTCTAGTCAACAGCTGTTGCTGGGCTTTCTTTTACTTAGTATATATACACAGATATACATTTAAAACTGTCTTCTGAGTGTTTATTTTGTAAGTTACCAACTTTGTGACTCTTGATTTCAGACAAATCACAAGCACCAAAATAAAAGAATAATCTCAGCTATCATTTGCAAAACATAGTCTGGTTAAAAATATTTCAGACCATATTCTTTAATATAATTGGGGACATCAAATCATAAACTATATCTTCCAACATAGACAAAAATTCAAAAATAAATTATAACTATAGACTAAAACATAGTATTAGAAGAAACGAAAGCCTTTCTGTGAGCACCCAAGCAGTTCCCCCTCTGTGCAGAGACACAAAGCGTCTTTAGCTTTCAGGTTTCGACAGATCCTGCTGGAACAGCAGCTCCCTCCCTTCCCCGCCTCTTCTTTCTTAATTCTCCCACAGCTCAAAAAATGAGATGGAGAACCTGGTATTTATCTTTCAGCAACATCAGCAGTTTTCCCCTCTCAGATTTCTATGTTGCTCTTTATTTGCTATTTGCAAGTGAGCTTGCTGGAGCTTTATCACTAATATTCAGAAGCTGGAAATCAAGCCTGGAGCAAGGGGAGTCTCTCCATCAAACCTCCCTGGGGTTCGTTCAAAGACAACTGACTGAAGGGAATTAAGACACTGAAGGCCACGAAAAAGGTATGGAAAATGGGAAGCTTCTGTAAGCTTAGAGACCTAAACAGAGCTCTTGAAGTACCATTTAGTTTGAATTTAAGTTGTCAATCTGTTCTTAAATATTAGTCTTGGTATAAATAAATCTTGTCTGAAAAACTGACTTTACTCTTTAATGACACCCACTCCAGACTTTCTGTCGGCAGACAGTTCACAGGCTGAGCACTCCCAGGTTCTGTTCTGCACACAATGTGTGGAACCGGCAGAGTTCTCTCCTTACAGCCCTTTGCTTGCAGGCACAGTGTTTCTCTACCGCCACCACCATCGGAACAAAGTTCGCCTTTATTCTCTACCGACAGAGATCTGAGCAGGCAGGCCACACACTATCACCCTCGCGGCCGGGGAGGAAGACAAGATTTCACAGCTATAGCTGAGACGCCGGTGCATGGTTACAAGAGAAACAGATTAGCGTCCTGCTATTCGGAGAGCGAATTCCTTCTGCGTAAGTCCTCTAGGCAGGAGTACGTATTCAAAGTCCAGTATCACCAGTAAGCAAGCGCTGTGGGCGCCCGGGGCACTGTCGTACTGTTCTCGCTGGTCTGGGCGTCTGTCATTCGTCACTGCCAGTACTTGTTAATGAAGATGAGCAAGCTGTCTGCGAGCCTGAATTACATGAGTTCATCAAATGTATTGCTAATGAGGAAAAAAAAGGGTTATAATTGGGAAGCTGAGCACAGACTGATCCACACATAAAGGTTACTCAACCAAAGTAAAAATAAAGACAGGAACGAGATGCTCCCGGGACGGTCACTGGCAGTCACCCTCACCTGAAAACAGTCAGGGCAGGGAGTAATTTAGGGAGCGGGCTGGGGCTCTAAGCCAAATCTGAAAACAGCTATCATTTTTCTCTAGATACGTTAACTTGTGCTCCAGTTTGGTCTCAATGTGTAAACAAATAAACTGTACGGAGGCAGGCAACCCTAGGCACTCCGGTCCTTACAGTAAAAGTCTGATTCCTAAGAATTCAAAATCTTAGGGGAAGCCTCTCCTAAAATTGTAAATTTCACAGCGTAAGACTATGAACAAAACAGAGCACAGGGAATCAGCCCAGGGTTTACATTCTTGGAGAATCAATGGCAGACCTATGGAAAGGTTCATACTTTTTACTCTAGACATGCATTAGTGTTGCTTATGCATGCCTACATTAAGCATTAGACATTTCACAAAAGCCAGGCATCTACCTTGGTGAGTCTCCTTAGTTAAGCCATTTGCCCAGCTGATAACCTCTGCAGTCTTTTTTTAAACAATTTTGGTGGGGAAGGGAGCGGAGCGGACAGTCAGTGGTGCTCCGTGCCTTCGATGCAGCGGTTCCTGGCTGCCCACAGGAAGCAACCAGGGGGGCACTTCCAGAAATACTGGGCCAATGGGAACAAGGTACAGGCTGGAGGGAGGTGGGGAGAGGCGGAGACAACGTGGATACTGACGATCTGCTGCTGAGTGTGGCCTTGGGTGACTTACCACCTAAATAGGCTAATCTGAAAAAATAATGATGTACAAGATTATGCCTACAGTTTCTTTCAGTTTCTATGCTAGTGAATTAAATTAGCCTAAGGAAGGAAGAGGAAAAAGAAGTTTTTATATGATATAAATATTATATGACATTTATTTGTCATATATAGAAAATAAATAAAAATACTAATGTCAATTATAATTTATTGAGTACTTTCTATGGGGGTAGATACTATTCTAAGCCCTTAAAACTACACTGACATATTTAACTCCATGATACAGGTACTCTAATCCTCCCGTTTTGCAGAAGAGAATACTGAGGCACAGAGAGGTTCTGGAAAGCCAATATCTGAACCAGACTGCCTTCTGTCAAATATACACGAATCACGATAGAACACATCGTCCCACACTTACTTCCGAAACACACAAAAATACAGCCAGTATTGCTGTATTTCAGAAACCATTACATTTCTCAAAGAGGGCAGTAAGTCCTGCCAGATCAAAACACAGTCAAGCCACAAAGTAAGTGCTAACTTTTCCCTCTTTAAAAAAGGAGTGTCAAATTATTTTCGGCATCCTACTTCGGAACTGTGCGGAATAACCGGTTCTGCGGCAGACTGCTGCATTTGGGTCAGGAAAGAATCCTGGTCCCAAGGAGAAGGGAGTTCATTCTCGCAGGGAGGGACAGTGGCTTGATTGTTCCGGTTGCTAGCTTACCTGTTCCGGTTTTCAGTACCCTGTACCTGAAGTGAAAGAAGAGCCACCCTAGGTAAGGATTTTGTAAGTGTTTATTAACTATAAATCAGGGATAATCATGCAGGCAACTGACTTCTTCCTACTACTTTCCTCTGCTCCTTAAACAGCTCACCTGGGTCACGGTACATGGTAGGTGCTCAATAGATACTTGTTTAAAAAACATTTTTTGAATACTTAAAACTTTTCTAAAAGGTATTAATATATAATTTTAAAGGGTGGGTTTCAGTATTTGAAGTAAAAACAAAGCAAGTTTACAAACCTATAATGTACTGGAATTCTTCACCAGATCTCATAGCTGGAACCCGGTGTGCCGACCTCCCCTAACAAGGGGCATGCCCACTTTGCAGGCAACTGCAGCACAGCTGAACTTTAAGACAGAACGAGGTGGACAGCCCCTCCCTTTCTGCCACGCAGCCAGCAGCAGCCACCCTGGTCACCCAGGAGCACCGAGCCTCCGAAGGCGTGAGCTTTGCCCTGGGAAGCAGCGTCCACACCCACTGCGGGGCATACGCGTTCGGCTCCCACTACATACAAACGCCTTTCTATTGATTCTTTCTTGCCCTCAATCCTGATGTTGTCTTCTTTCCGCAGCCTTTGTCACTAGGTTCTCCACTGCACAGAAACAGCTTCAACCTTGACCAAGAGCCATCATAATTAAGCACCAGGATTTTCTAGGCAGACAAAGCTGATGATAACATCATGGCCTCGACAGGCCTCCAGCTCCTTGCTTTCATCCTGGCCTTCTGTGGGGTCTCTGGGGTGCTGGCGGCCACCGTGCTGCCCAACTGGAAGGTGAGCATGGACTCGGGCTCCAACATCATCATGTCCATCATCCAGCTGCAAGGGCTGTGGATGGACTGCACGTGCTACAGCACCGGCATGTTCAGCTGCACCCTCAAGTACTCCGTCCTGTCCCTCCCCACGCACGTGCAGGCTGCTCGGGCCACCATGGTCCTGGCCTGTGTCCTGTCTGCTTTGGGGATCTGCACTTCCACAGTGGGGATGCAATGCATTCGCTTAGGAGGGGACAGAGAAACCAAGAGTCACGCTTCCTTTGCTGGAGGCCTCTGCCTCATGTCTGCAGGGATCTCGGGTCTAATACCGACAGTGTGGTACACGAAGGAGATCATCGCAGACTTTCTGGATCTGGCAGTGCCGGAAAGCCACAAACACGAGCCCGGAGGAGCCGTCTACATCGGATTCATTGCGGCCATGCTGCTGCTGATCGCTGGCATCATTTTCTGCACTTCTTGCATGAAAAAGGACCCAGAGGCGTGGCTCTCCCCACCCCCGCAGCAGCACCCCCGCACCACAAAGCCAAAGGGCAGGTCAGCTTACCACCTGAAGGACTATGTGTGAATCACCCTGTAACACACATCGGACTTTTAGGTGCCTGGTGGGGTTTTTGTCTTTATTCTAAATAAAACACACACACACACACACACACACACACACACACACACACACCCGCCCCCAGAATTATGCTTAACTTTCTTTACAAAGATTTTAAATATTTTAAAAATGGCAAGGTCATTTAAAATGCCAACAAACTCTCGTGTACAATTATATCTGTTTTAAGATTATTCTTCCATCCCTGTTTTCATGTTTTATCTAAAGGTTTATAATTGGAAGAGGCTCTGATGATAATAATAAGACAATTAATTAATGGCTTTTTAAAATTTTTCCTCTTTAAGATACCTGTTGATACATTTTCTGAATTGGTATTTGACTGGGTTTTATAAAGCAGTTCAATTGCCAAGTGTGAGAAGCACCTTGCCAGGGTGTGACTCTGCGTTTGCTGCCTGTGTGGTGACCTAGCCCCACAGCGCGACAGCACCTTAGGGACCGAAGCACTGTCACCTCTCAGACATTGCCCAACCAGCCACCCCAACTCCCCACCTACTGGGAACTCCATCCCTTTTTTCATTTTGGAAGAATATCTACATATATTTGTGAGAGCCCACAAGGTGACATTCAAAGACGAGGCAGAACTAAGGGGAAGACACTGGTAAAGGCCACCACAGCAAAGCCAAACCAGACCAGACCAAACTCAAACCTCCAGGACTTTTAAAGAACCAAGTACAGCTAAGCGACGACAGTACGTCTGTTTGAACAGGCTCCCGAAGGGCCCTCGTCTGCTGCTGGCCAGAGGCTTCTACAGTTAAGTCATTCACAACAATTTGGATTTAGTCCATCTCCTTTACTCTCTCACCAATTAGTGTCTGGATGATAAAGTTACTTTTAAGTTGTCATTTATTCTCCAGTGTGATCCACATTAACACAACCACTGTTGTCTCTTATAAGGGGCTGCTTCAGTGAATTCATGGATGTGTGAGCAATTTTCTTCTAAAAATATAAGTTAAATTATCTTGTGTATTTCAAATATTTTAACAAGAAAATAAAAACTGGATTCTTTAATGTACAAAAGAACACTGCACAGGGTTGTTTCTAATACTTTGTTAATTCAAGCTTAGTCACTGCTCACAATATAGGTCAATGGGGAGAAAGCATTTCTTTGTATATTAATCATTCAGGAATGGGAAGGACACCTTCTATGTGAGCAAATACTTTTCATTTGTTCATAAAGAATTAGAGACTAAAATATTTTATGCCTGTTACTCGGTAGATCATCATTCTCTTCTTCAACAATGTCATCAGCTATTAATGGAATAGCTAAAATGAAAAGGTGCTATTTCATAAATGGATTAGAAACAAAATCGCTGAAACAAGTTTAAATGGTTGTTTAAAGTGTGCATTCCTTTTGACTGGTCCGACTCTTTTCAGTACCAATTCAGAGCAGTTGTGAGGACTCAAGACAATACACAGATGTGCCGGGGCGTGGTGGCCAGCTGGGGGTGGACATCTGGCAATGCCTGCAGAAAGTTTTGGTTGTCACATCTGGGGAACTGGAACAGGAATCTAGTGGGCAGAGGCCAGGACTGCTGTTGAATACCCAACCATGCACAGGAGAGCCCCGGCAACAAAGAATTATCTGGACCAGAATGTCAACAGTGATGAGGTGGAGAAACCCTGGTCTCATCTATATGAATACAGTTAAACATTCATTTTTGTTAGATTAAAAAGTGGCAAAAGAACCCCCCCCCCAAAATGCCAAAAACCTCCCCAGAATATCATGCTTATGTTACCTATGAAGCAGGTGTGTGTGTGAAACTGAAGGAATCATCTAGTAATTCCAGCAAAGATGATGCAGACTTCAGTTAAGTCTGGAGAACTGGGTAAAAGAATGGACAGATTTAAGAGTAAGAAGTAGGGAATGTGAGAAGTTGGGAACTGGTGACTAGCTGTGAGGATAAAGGTAAGGGGTGGGGGACTTCAGATGACCTCAGGGTTAGGCCGGGATGACCCGAGCGATGAAGGTGGCAGTGGTCAGCATGCTGAATGTACGGGGAGGAGCAGGTCTGGGGGGTAGACAGAGTACGGAGCCAACGCTCTCTCACGTCTTCATTTCTCAGTGAAGGCTCTAAAGCAGTCTCTCTTACCTCTGTGTTTTTAGCTACGTGCTTCAGCACATATCAACTTGACCGACTCGGAGGATTTCCGTCCCAGCCTGTGAATCACAGCACCCTGTGCATGTCTTCACTACCTCCACGAACATTTCCCTTCATTTCGTTGTATTTTACACATGTACAAAATTGTCATTTGCAAAACTGCATTTTTGTTTCCTTCTCAGAGTTACAATTCTTACTGTTTATTTTATTCTTGAATAGTTATGAATGCATACCTAATAGTAAATTAGATCGTAATAGCAAATACACTTATTATTATCAACACTTACTTTACCTAATTTTTTAAAAGAATGACTCTCTTACTCTTTACATTATAAAATTGGCTTTTAGTTCCATGTTTATTTTTATTTTAGACTTACCCACTTTCAAAAAATTTTGAGGCAACTTACAATGAGATTATTGATACAGTAAGTATAAAAGCCAATGATAAAGCTGGATGACTAAAGTTACAAAGAAAAGGAAGAGACAAAGAATGCCATTAAATAATGCAGGTTGAAGGCTGCTTAAGCAGTTAATATGAAGCTTAGTTTAGAACTTCTCGGCAACTTTCTGCAGGCACTGCCAAATGTCCACCCCCCGCTGGCCGACTCGCTTAGTTTAGAACCTGGCGAGGCTACTGCTGGGACCTTGACCAAGCTCCTCCCACCGGGCCCTCACCCACCTCCCAGATCTGGAGCTGCCTCGCTGGAAGGTGAGGGCGCGCTGCTCCTAGGGGTCCCGGGACTGACCCACACGGGGGTTCCAAAGGTGGCGCCCTAGCCTCAAGGGGGACTCACGCTGGTCAATTTGTACCTGAGCGCCCTGCAGCCCCTCCCCTAGTCCAGGTGGAACCAGAGCCTTGCTTAGCTCTCCTGCCTTCATCTGCTCCCTTGTTCCCGTCTCCTGTGAGCACGAACATCACTTCCACAGAAGTCCCCACTCCATCTGACTCCAGGAAACCAGACCGAGCACTACAGAGACTAGTGAAGGAGAAAAAGATTAGTCTTCTGACTTCATGTCCAAAGAAGTCTCAAATACAGGGTAATAGCCAACAGAAATAACACCCCCAATATCAAATTTCAAAAAACACAAAGGCTTCTGAAATGTGGCCGTTTCTTACATGGACCCGTCCACTTACTAAGCTCACGGTTATCTCACACGGAGGCGAGGCCTCAACAGCCTGGGACAAGCACACCTGAGCGCCTCTAAAATGCTGTCCTCAGAGCGCAGGCTCGGCTGCCCCGAGTCCTGACCTTCTCTTTAGGTCACGGGTGTGTTATCATTAATTAATCTAAAATTGTATTGACACGATTTATGCTTTAAATCTGCACCATATTTGGGAGAAAGACTTGCTCCATTTGCTATACTTAGGCAAAATCAGATATAAATTATATTTATATCTTAGAAATTATGATCCACACTACAACAAGATACCAGAACTTGGTCCATAAAACATTTGTTTGTCATTGTAACAGTAATAGCTATCACCCACCGACTGCCTCCCTGAGCCACATACTCATATTCTGCACTTTACACTGATTATCTCAATCCTCCAAGGTGGCATCACTGGCCCAATCTGATGAATTAAAATGCAGCCTATCAACCCGAGCACGTCCTCATTACTAGGAGCGCTGGAATCCCAGCCGGTCCAGCTGACTTCACAGTACTTCTAGTTCTTCCACTAGAGGATGCTGCCCTGTCAATCAACGGACCTACTGCAACTGTCTTGCTATATCAAAGTGACTTTTCTACGAGGCTGGAGTATAGGATATGGTCGGAACTAACACCTGTCCATTCTATGGGAAGGATGTTAGATTACCAGCCCCACCATTGATAAAACAGATGACCGAGTTTTGAGGAAACAGCTAATAGCTCAGTATTTATCAAACTTGAGTAATGGGCAAACCACCAGGAAAATTACCATGGGCCCCAGAAACACACGGGCTCTCAGGGGTCTTGAGGTGCCAGCTTGAGGAACCTAAAACTTTTTTCTCATGGAAGTGTTTTTTAGTTGTGAAACTGAACTGAAAGAGGGTTTCTTATAATAATAATTTTATTAACAGTGAGATGAAAAATACAAAATTTTAAAATTTCTAACTTAAAATCCATATACCACAAACTCTAGTAGTCTAAGAAACACTGGAGTAGCCCAATCAATCTAATGTTAAGAACCTAAGAGGTTGTGTTTTCTGTAGATAGAAAAGAATGTGGGGTTCAAGCTTCGAGGCTGCACTTGAGAGTTAACGACAGTTGAGGACAGTCTGGCAAGGATGCTGTCCAGCTGGTCAGAACAGGACCGTCAGAGTCCATGGCAGTGAGTTCTCTCACTGAAGTGGCTGAATGGGTCAGTCCAAAGACCGATGAAAGGAGAGATAAGAGATTGTCACAGGCAAAATCCTCGGGTGGTTATAAACAAGTTATTCTTGTCATATCACAAAAGAAATTTTCTGTATCTAGTTCTTAAGGAGTTCTGGCTGAGAATAAGTATTGAACTTCAGTAAATTCCTTGAGCATCTACAGAGGATTAAGCTCTCTCGCAACTGCCCAGGAACCTGCCTTTGCCTCTGTTTCAGCACTTAGCATACTCTGCCTTGTGCCGCAGTTATTTGTTTGACTTTCTCTTTTTGCATACAGAGGGTTCAGCCAGAGGGGCAGCCTTGAACTGTTAAGATCTTTGTAAAAGCTCTTCCCCTTTCTTAAGAAAATAAATTTTCTAAAAATTTGCTCAATGTTACTATCAGCCAAATATTTTCTGGCCTTCCTCAGAAATTCCTAATCTGCTCTACTACGGTGAAACTACTTCAGAGCAAGAGAGAATTCTTTCAGAGCTAGAATTTAATTCTTTGATGTATGGTTTTCTACATTCTCTCTCCTCCTTGATAACTGCTTTCCTAGATTACAAATAAATGCCCTGCATGTCAAATGTTCGACATGATGAAAAGCACATAGTGAAAATTATTATGAATGTTTAATTTGCCAAAAAGCAAACATCCCTCAATAAAAAAAGAATCAAAGCAAAAAAGAATCATAGCTAGCTCCCCCCACCAATAATGTATATTTTCATAAGGCCTTAATCCCAGAGGAAAAGGCTTTTCAGTAACTGACAAGGGTACCTTATCCCTAAATCAAAGATAAAGTTGATAACCTGTGAACACCCTCAACAAGGTAACAAAAACAAAGAGTTAGAAACTTTCCAATAAAAATATTCTAACATCCACTCTAAGAAACCCTTGGAATAATTAGAGAGCCTAAAGATTCTGGGTTCTGGTAATGACCAAAACCATAAAAATCCTTGGTCTGGCACCATTCAAGTTGTTACATACATACCCACACATAAGACAAGAAGCAAGCAAGCTACGTGGTCACTTGGTTTTCTTCAATATAGTGGCAACCTGTCCTAAGATAGAAAAGTCCTGGAAGGACAAATGTGTTAAATCTGATGATGACCTACAAGATATCCTCAGTCATGAAGTTCTGTCTAGGATGTAGTATTTTGGAAGAAGTCATTTACAATGTCTGAAACCTCGAGATGCTGAAAGGAGGTGGTGCTGGGTGTGTTCCCCAAGCTTGGTTTAGAAACGCAGACTGTTAAGTCTGCTACATAAATGGAAGACGGGCTGCATTCCCAGCCACCGGAAACCTCAGCTAGTGGGGGCAGACAACACAGCAGAGGCAGTGGATGGCGGAGTCAAGATCATGGAGGCTTCGCAGACCACGCTGCAACATGCACACTCGGTCTAATAGTGACTGTGCCCCATGCGAAACCTGAAACCTGTATCTAAATCCAAAAACCACGTAATACAATTTCACTGTGCTATTTCCTTTTTCTTTTAATGTTTGTATTGATTTTGAGAGAGAGGAAGGGAGAGGGAGCGAGAGATGGAAACATTGATATCAACTGGCCCCAGGCTGTGCTGTCTTTTACTAATGGGTGTCCAGTGGTGTAAGGGAAGCTGCTGCAAGCAAGGCAGCTCGGCCCCCCAGCTGTGAGCTCCCTGCAGGCAGACAGCGAGTCTCCCTGGCTCCTACCGTCTGCCTGGCCCAGGGCTCTTCACGCAGAGCCCGATGTACATTCAAAGAAACTGATGCGTTTCCGGCACATGTCCTAGAGCAGCGCTCATCCCAGTGCTTCTGCTCAACGGGCGCCTGCTACTGATTCTTCTGGCAGAGAAACTTTATTTCTGTAATTAGCATATAACAGTCAAAGCCTAATTTACTTCTTTTTTTATCCTCACCCGAGGACATTTTTCATTTTTTGTTCAGATAGAGTGGGAGGGAGAGAGAGGAAGAGAGAGAGAAACATCGACATGAAAGGGACACTTCCAGTGGTTGCCACCCGCAGGGCCGGGGACCAACTGCAACCGAGGTACGTGCCCTTAGCGGGAACCGAACCCGGGTCTCTCTGGACCGCAGGCCGACGCTCTAACCGCTGAGCCAAACCGGCCAGGGCTCAAAGCCTAATTTAATATTCAGCTATTTTCCACAGATGATTGGTTATAAGTAATATTACCAAAATACGGTCTTTCCAAAATATGGAACATTCATGATAAATAATGTTTGATGTAACTTTTGCTAGAAGTCTCTAACAGAAATTTAAAAAAAATACTGATTTCTTTTTTTGAGGGTTGGATGACCATATAACTTATCTTCCATACTAAGATCATTTAAGTTTAAAAAGAGTTGGAGATGAGGAGGATGATGATGATGATAATAGTATCACCCCCACCAGGGCAGCATAGATAAAACTAGACATTTGGTCATTCTAAGTAAGGGGGAGAAAAAGTAGAATAAAAACTGTGATGTTCATTCATACTGTGACTGTTAAGGTTCTATTCAGGAGGTAAGGAAAAACTTGGGGTACAGTTTGCATATAAATGAAGATTAGACTCCAGAGATAACTTCCCATGACATGTCCTCAGAGGAGCAGCGGATGCAATTAAAATACGGGTTCTGGACAGGGAAGCAAACAACGCTCACCTGCGGTTTGGGGACGAACGCGCGGCCGGGAACCGTGAGGACGTGCTGGACCTGGCAGAGGTGCTGGGCCACCACAGACAGGCGGCTGCGCTGGCTGCTTCCAGTGCCGGCGGTGAGTCTCTGTGCAGACAGAGAGGAGTTTTAGACAGTGATTAATCCAGTCTGATCATAAGCAAAAGATAAACAACTAATAAAAAATATAACAGTAACTTAAATGAACCATAAACTATGCTCAACCACATTGCAAATTAGGAACATGCAAATTAAAACCATAATGAGGTACGATTTCATATCCATAAAATGAACAAAATTAAAATGACACACAAAAAGAACCGGGTAGAACCTACACGGGTGAGTATTTGGAGCGACAGGAACTCACACACTGCTTGTGGGAGGGGAGCTGCTACAAGCACTTTGGACCGTAATGCGACAACACACCTAGTAAAGCAAAGTCGAGTAAAGCCTCGCGGTCCTTCAGGTTTACCATAAGGATATGATCCTAGAGAAAATTTACAGTTACACAGGGTGTGTAAAAATGAATGTTCACGACAACATTATAGGTAATATTTTAAAAAGTGGAAAAACCTAAAGGTCTGTCACAGGTGACTGAATAAGTGGTAATTTTGACAACTGAATACAAAGAAACGGTTAACATGAATAACAAGGGTTACCTAGATAGATTCCAAATAAAGTAAAAAATAATTAAGAGGCAGAAAATATGTAAGTTTAATTTACATTAAAACTTCAAGATTACTTGTGTGTGTGTGTGCGTGTGTGTGTACCTATGTCTGCAGTGTAAGTAAAACACATACACAGAAATGATGAATAGGAATTTTAACAGTGCGACTCTCGGAAGGAAAAGAAAGGGAACAGAAGCGTCTCCAACATATTGAGATTATTTTCTTTCTTTCTTTTTCTTTTGGTGACTAATTTTTATTTATGTTAGCTCTCCCCTTAGCGAAGTTCTAATCGACTTCCAATTCTTCATTTTCTTTAGAAAGCCCATCATGTGGCTTAGGGATTTTCCTTTTGTTTGTTCTTTTCAGATCTTATAATTTTAAAAAAAAATTATTTTTTCTTAATTTGTTTTTGTTACAGATGTTTCTCTGTTTTCCCCCATTGACACCCTCCTCCCCATCCCCCCTACCCGATCCCCAACTTTGTTGTCTATGTCCATTGGTTGTGCATACATATAAGTTCTGTGGTCTATCTCTCCCCCCCAACACTCCCTCTTCTGAGGTTTATCAGTCTGTACCCTACCTCTATCTCTGGGTCAATTTTGTTCATCAGTTTCTTTAGTTCATTATATTCCAAAAATAAGTGAGATCATGTGATATTTGTCTTTCTCTGCTTGGCTTGTTTCGCTTAGCATAATACTCTCCAGGTCCTTCCATGTCATCTCAAAGGATAAGAGATCTTTTTTTCTTACAGCTGCATAGTACTCCATTGTGTATATGTACCATAGCTTTTTAATCCATTCGTCTACTGACGGAGCTATTGTAAATAGTGCTGCTATGAACATGGGGGTACATATATTCTTTCTGATTGGTGTTACAGACTACATTATTTTATTTCTTAAAAAAAAAAAAAAAAGCCCTGGCCAGTTTGGCTCAGCGGTTAGAGCGTCGGCCTGTGGACCAGGCAGTCCCGGGTTCGGTTCCCACTAAGGGCACGTACCTCGGTTACAGTTTGTCCCCAGCCCCGGATGGAGTCGTGTGGGTGGCAACCAGTTGATTTGTCTCTCTTACATCAATGTTTCTCTCTCTCTCCCTCCCTCTCTCCCTCCCACTCTATCTGAAGATAAATGCAAAAATGTCCTCGGGTGAGGATAAAAAAAAAAAAGATAGGAAAAATGTCAATATGTTAAGACTGGACGAAGCTGAATTTGGAAAAAAAAAAAGTAGGCAGAGCCCTGGCCAGTTGCTGGGAGTGCCAAAGGGCTGTGGGTTTGATTCCTGGTCAGGGCACATACCTAGGTTGTGGGTTTGACCCCCATTGGGGATGCATACAGGAGGCAACCAAATGATGTCTGTCTCTCACATCAATGTTTCCCTTTCTCTCTCTCCTTTCCTCTCTTTAAAAATCAATAAAAACGATCCTCAGGTGAGGATTAAAAAATAAGTTAGGCATAATTATCTGTCTAAAATGTATCCTGCTTCTCTGTGTCTGAGAGTTCACCAGACATTCTTCACCCCTTGTGAGGCACAAGCCTCATCACGGGGCGGGCCGGGGCTGGGCCGGTGCTCACCACGTTCTGTGCTCATGGGTGGGCTCCTCTCCCCGCTCCAGTCACGTGCCAGCCTCTAACAGCACCTTGGTTTTGCTGCTTCCACCCTGCTGTGCCCGTGAAAACCACATAACTTGGCTTGTAGGAGATTTTACCTTAAGCAAGATCAAGAAATAGTTTTGTTCTGGTTTTTACTTTATTTATTTATTTTTTGGTACATGCCCCTAGTGGGAACCAAACCTGGGACTCTGGTACACAGGCCGAGGCTCCAACTGCTAAGCCAAACCAGCCAGCGCTGTTTTTTGCTTTATTTTTTATCCTCACCAGAGGACATTTTTGCATTCATCCACAGATAGGGCGGGAGGGAGAGAGAGAGGAAGAGAGAGAGAGAAACATCGATGTGAGAGAGACACATCGACTGGCTGCCATCCACATGACTCCAACCAGGGCTGAGGTACATGCCCTTAGCGGAAACCAAACCCGGGTCTCTCTGGTCTACAGGCCGACGCTCTAACCATTGAACAAAACTGGCCAGGGCAGGGTTTTTTAAATTTTTTTTCCTTTGATTTTTTTTAGAGAGAGAGGATGTGAGAGGGAGAGAGATAGAAACATCGATGAGAGAGAACATCGACTGGCCATCTCCTGCATGCCCTACACTGGGGATCAGTCCCAAAACCTGGGCATGTGCCCTGACCGGGAATTGATCGAGCAACCTCTTGGTACATGGGTCGATGCTCAACCACTGAGCCACACCAGCTGGATGTAGGTTTTAATCTGAGATGCTGAGAAAACGTCCTATGGGCCAAGCTAACTGTATCCCTTTTTTTAAAAAACTTTTCAGGCTCTTGTTGAAATTGTTGGAAATCTGAGTTTATGATGATGAGAAATTACAGTGTATCTGACAAAATAAACTCTTCTTGACTAAAATGTGAAACCAAGAACTAGATATATTCTCAGGCCAATATAAAAAATAGAGAGACACTGCCCTGGCCAGTTTGGCTCAGCGGTTAGAACGTCGGACTGCAGACCAGAGAGTCCCGGGTTTGATTCCCACTAGGGGCACATACCTCGGTTGCAGTTTGTCCCCGGCCCTGGTTGGGGTTGTGTGGGTGGTGATCAGTCAATGTGTCTCTCTCACATTGATGTTTCTCTTTCTCTCTCTCTCCCCACTTCTGCCTCCCTCTCTATCTAAAGATAAATGCAAAAAAAGAAAAAAAAAAGAGACAAATAATAGAATTACAGTTTTAAGTTAAAGAATGAGCTCGTGGATCAAGTAGTCAAAAATATTTCTAGTTCTTCACTTAAAAAAAAAAAAAGAAGAGCTGAGTTTACCACCGGTAAAAATTAATTGAAAATGTGCTGTGCAAACTGGCATGATTCAAAGCAGTTGTATAAAACTAAAATCTAGCATGAACATAATCACAAAATTAGAAAATAAGCCAAAAGAAATGCCCAGATTTGAAAAATTATTTTGTCCTGGGCTTTCTTCCAATTTGTCACTTTACATCTGAAATATATGTTTCCACAGATGAATTCAAGAGATTTAAAAATCACTTTCACCAAAAAGCAACTCCGAGGGAAAGCTAATTTGATATCAAGACATAGTCAGTCAGTTTCACTTTACGGGGCTGTGTGTCCACTCCTCCCAGGGGCCGGGCTGCCGTGACCACTGCGTGGCCCGCCCAGGCTCTGTGAGATCGGCCATGGCGTGGAGATGAGAACATGGAGCCACACAGCTCAGCGCAGAAGCCAGCAGCATCTGCCTGCCCTAACCCACTACGGACAAACTCAAGCCACAGGCCAGAAAGCTCCGTAAGGACTCATTACAAGCTGGCGTAAGAAATGGGCCATCAACTGTTCGAACACGACCTGGTATTTCTGGTACATGTTACAGGAAAGCTATGAAAAGTCAAACTCCATTAGAAGATGGATGACTGCAACAGCAAAAGACCAGGAAACCAAACCAGTCAATTTTTCAGCTAAAGAAAATATCTAACATTTGAGCTTTTAAAAGCAGTCTGATTTAGTCCAAGAAAAAAAAGGGGGGGGGGGCGTCAAAGAATCCACAAGGACAGTGTTACTTTAGTCCCTTTATTCGTCTAGAATAATTTTAAGTACGAGTAGGAAAAAAAGTGGCTTACACTTGAGAAGTGAAACAGCCACACATCAGGGACAAAGAGAGCTACGTGATTAATGAAGAGGTGACTCCCTCCTGCAGGGATGTGACCATTACCAGTCAGGTCTCCTAGAGATGGGAGGAGAGAAGAGGCTGATGCTGGCCCCGGAAAGAAAAGACCACAGGTCCAGCCACATGGAGAAGTTGAACATCATGACTTCAGCAGAAAACATCTGACCTGTGTTCAAGCTCACCTTTCCCTGTAACTAGCTCCATGACCTTTTGGAAAACATGAAGTGACTTTGAGCCGTGGTTTCATCCTCTATAAAATGAGGTTAGATAAAATGTGTTAAGGTCTCATTTACTGCTACACTGTCTGATTCTATTTTATGAGCTGTAGCTTTATACCGTCTGTGCCCTTAATGCGTGTGAGCTGAATGCACACTCAGACCTGTAGTCCTAAAGAGAAAAAAGAGGACCATGCTCATTTGTTTTACAACTCACAAAGTTAAGCAAAGAAAATGATTAAAAGTGCTTTCTATGGCTAAAATACAAAATTTCAAATATGACAGTGTCACAAGCAAAGCCAAGGTCCATTAGAAAATGATGCTACATTTTCTCCAGCTGAAATTTGCACTTGAAAAATGTGGAAACAAATCAGAGGACCAGTGTCACCCGTACTTCTAAAGCATTCCTTAAATTATACATTCCATGTAAACTCTCTTTGATATTCATACAAAAATTTAACTAAAATCCACTTTTTGGTTAAAGAAAAATAACTGCACATGGTGAAGTTGGAGCCACGCTACTATTAATAACCACAGCTGGCTGAGTCACTGAAAGTATTACTCCACCTCTTCAGCCTGTTTCTTTGCTCTTTCTCCCAAAAGAATTACATAGTATTTTGCATCTCTGTTGTGTTATTTAAGAACAGAAATACTATAATAATCATGTCAGCTGAAAAAAAAATCCAAGGACAAACCCAAAAGTTGAGAAAGCTATGAGCATGGCCTCAATCCGAACCAGCACGAGAAGGAACAGACTCCTGGGCGGGCAGTGAGGAAGACCTTGGGAAAGTGGGGTGTCACTTTAGAGTTCCTGACAAACACACAAGGCTCCTACACTCTGCGATGGATTTTACGGCCAAATCCTCTAGGGCAGGTCTCTCGATCTCGGCAGCAGTTACACCGGGGCTAGTTGATGCCGAGTAATTCTTGACCTGGGCTGTCCTGTGCACTGAACGAGGTTTACCAGCATGCCTAACCTCTGTGCACCGGGCACCAGGCACCCTCCTGCCCTGCCAACCAAAAACGCCCCTGGGGGGGAGTGTCAGAACTGCTCCACTGAGAATCACTGCTCTCAAGAGGAACATGGGTAAAGAGAGAGGGGTGGATCTAAGAAATAAAATTGTTATGATACCTCAAATAGGAATTGTTACTTCCTATTTGAGAGGAAGTAACCTCAAGAATTGAACTAATGCAATTACATAGTCTACTCTCAAAGAGATTCTGATATTAGAAAGTTTTTTTTTTTACAAAAGTAATATGAAGATGAATCAAATACATAAAACACGTTTTCATAAGCTGGACCACAGGCCGTGTGGGCTATGATCACCGAGGCACGAAAGGAGAGCCCTGTGACTGCCCGGCTTAGAGCCGGGAGGCGTCTGGAACACCCCGGGCCCAGGGGTCTCCTCGACTTGAGAAGACAGAGGCTGGAATGCTGGGAACCAAGGCAGCCAGAACTTGTGGGACAGCCTGCTGGAGACATGGGAACACACACAGGGTGGGGAGTGGGGGTGAGGGGAGGGAGGGAAAGAGGAACAGAGAGAGGAGGGAAGGGAGTGAGCGAGAGTGCCTGAGAGCTGTTCTTCAAGTCTCTGGCTGAGCAGTTTGTGAGCCCATGAGGTCTCCTCAAGGGCTGGGAGGTTGGGAAGCTGGAGGAAGCACCATCAAAAAGCAGGACAAAATGGACTCACGAGGAACTGGAAACAGTTTGCATCCTCCACAGCTCAAGTGGAGCGCCCTAGAATACAGAGCACTGGGTGGACTCCCCACAAGGTCATGACCTAGTAGTGGGACTTAATTAGCCTCAGATTAATGGCTGCTCCGGACCAGTCATACAAAGTTTAAAAGGAAGCCTCAAACCAACCTCTAAGGAATTACCTGGGTGCCAAAAAACCACCACTCAACTCAATACAACACAATCAAGCTCCCAGCAACATGAAAAACAAAAACCTCACAATATCTGAGATGTTGCCAAAAATGACCAGGCTGCCCTGGCTGGTTTGGCTCAGCGGATGGAGCGTTGGCCTGCGGTCCAGAGAGACCCGGATTCGGTTCCTGCTAGGGGCACGTGCCTCAGTTGGTTTGTCCTTGGCCCCGGTTGGGGTTGTGTGGGTGGCAATCAGTCGATGTGTCCCTTTCGTGTCAATGTTTCTCTTTCTCTCTCTTCTTCTCTCTCCCTCCCACTCTATCTGAAGAAAAAAGGGAAACGTCCTCAGGTGAGGATAAAAAAAATAAAATAAAAAATGACCAGGCCACCCGCATAGTGTGGTTCAGTGGATTGAGCATCACCCCATGGACTGAGAGGTCCCAGTTCGATTCCCAGTCAGGGCACATGTCCAGGTTTCAGGCTCGATCCTTAGTAGGGGGTGTGCAGGAGGCAGCCAATCGATGATTCTCTCTCTCTCTCCCTTCCTCTCTAAAAAAAAAAAAAATCAACAAAAACATATTTGTAAAAAATGACCAGGCTTACAAAAAAGCAGAAAAATTAGAGTAGAAAAATGAGACCTCTAGCAAAGGGCAGGAGTCAGCTGGTGAAACAGTACAGAAATGAGAGGTGATGAAATCAATAGACAAAGATCTTATATGGTGAGGTATCTTACACATATGCATGAAGATGCTAAGGAAAGCATGAACACAATGAGAGAAAGAAGGTAGAAGAAGACCCAAATGGAACTTCTAGAAATAAAAATACAATATCTGAAATGAAAAATAAATTCAGTGGCATGAACAACAGATTAGACACTGCAGAAATGTGTGCTGAATTTGAAGACACAGTAATTGGAATTAAAGTTTAACTATGGTGAATTACTAAATTTTTTTCACAAGAGTTAAGCAAATATGCATGCATTTGCTAAAAACTTTTTCTCTGCTGATGTGTAATCTGATCATTATCCTACACTGTGCTGTCTGGCTCTGGGCGGTCTCATCCAGCCTTAACCTGCCTTTTTCCTGCTAGAGCTTCACAAGACATTGTGACACTTGATAGGCAAGTCTTCTCTCAGCACTCTTCTCTTTGCAAATGTCTTACCCACTCTTACGGGTCCATTCTCAAGATGATCCTTGGAACTTTTAACTGCATTTCAAGATGTTATATAAACAATGATAAATCTCTGAATAATGTTCTTTACTTCTCTTTCCAATAGTGATATATTTTCTTCAGTCCCTACTGTATTTAGTGTTCTGTTTATTCACCACAAATTCAGTCCTAAAGTCCCCCCAATGTTTAATATATGCAAACACGATAGGTTATCAAATCTGTGATCTGCTCTGATGTGAATGAAATGTTCCTCCTGAAGATCTCCTTCTCTATCTGTACCGGACCTTCCAGTTCCTAGATTTCACCCCATCTTTCTTCTTGGTGTCTCCAGTTAGACCAATCCTTATACAGGCTTATGTCATTATGTCACAGGTGCTGATAAAGGTCAACGAAGAGCACGCTTTTCAATAAACGGCGCGAGGTTCACTGGGATCATATAACAACAGTGCTAAAATTGGCTTCTACTTCAACCGTCCACAAATAGCAACCCCAAGTGGATTACAGACATAAATTTGAAAGGTGAAACAATAAAGCTTCTAGAAGATAATGCAGAAAACCATCTTCATGATCTCAGGCTATAAAAGGATTTCTTCAACAAGACACAAAAAGCACTAACCATAAATTTAAAGTTATGAACGTCAGCTCTTCAAAAGACACTGTAAAAAGAAAATAACAACATGCCACAGTGGAAGAAGATCTGCAACACATTTAACTAATAGAGAATATGTGAGAACTTCTCTAAATCAATGAGAAAAAGACAAGCAACCCAACAGAAAACTGAGTAAAAGGCACAAAAACAGAGCTTACCCAAACAGCTCATACATGTGTAAACAGTGCTCAATTTCAATAGAAATCAGCAAAAGACAGGATAAAACCACGACGACACACCATTCTCCCAGATTAACAAAAGGGCAAGTCTGGCAAAAGCAAGTCCCGGCAAAGACTTGGAGCAAAATGAGCTGTTGGTGGGAACATAAATGGGCGTGACTTTCGAGAACAATTTAGCATCATCTAGGAAAGGTGAGGATTTGCAGACCTTCCAATGCAGCATTTCTATGTGCCTGTGTGCTCCAGCTGACATAAATATAAGAACATCTATGAGAGTTTTGTTCGTAAGAACAAAACACTGCAACTAATTCAGGGTCCCAAAACAGGAGAATGGAAGATAAATGACAACCCAGTCAAAGAGCTGTAGGCTAAGCGATACTAATAAGCTATATGAGTGAATCAGGAGAAAGGGCACCGACTGCATGGAGCCATCTATAGCAAGTTCAAAAGTGGACAAACTAAAGTATATTAATTATATATAAAAATCTATGTCGTGGTATTGATGACCTTGGCTGTAGGTGGGGGGTGGAGACAGAATCATAATGAGGTATCCACGAGCGTGTCCAAGACGCTGGCGATTTAATTACTAAGCTGACTTGGGTGGTGGGGAGTCAGGTGCTCTTTTGTTAAGCCGTACACGTACATTATTTCCTCTGTGGTACTTACGTGTCAGAACACAACTTTTTTTTTTTTTTAATCCTCATCCGAGGACATTTTTCCATTTTTTGTACAGACAGAGTGGGAGGGAGAGAGAGGAAGAGAGAGAGAGGGAAACATCGATGTGAAAGGGACACATCGAGTGGCTGCCACCCACACGACCAACCAGGGCCGGGGACAAACTGCAACCGAGGTACGCGCCCTTAGCGGGAACCGAACCTGGGTCTCTCCGGACCGCAGGCCGACGCTCTAACCACTGAGCCAAACCGGCCAGGGCAGAACACAACTTTTTAACAACACTGGGTGGGAGTGTGCGGATCCCTCGCCTACCCTGTAGGCTTATTTCTAGGTGAATCTGGAACACAGCTGCCGTGGGCATGCAGACCTGGCCGAGGTCGGGGATTAGGAGAAAGTCTACACACGGAATAACAAGAACCAACCCCCTTCTCTTTCTCAGCTCCAAACTGGTTACAACAGTCTATAATGCCATCCTATTAAGTTCAACACATCAGTGACATGTCACAGCCACTCCCTGCATCCGTGCATCTCCACGTGCCCAGGCCCCTCCTTCTCCGGCCGCGCTGTGGCTGCGGCCTGTGTGGCCAGCAGCACGTCGTCCGTGCTCCGCACGGGGCGCTGACAGCCATTACATCTGCCACCGTCACCACTGGTTAATCTTCGGTTCACTGTTGTTGGGTCTGTGTGTGTGTGTGTGTGATGGTGTATTAACTTTAAAAAACACGGTCTGTGATAAAAATATAGCACTGTTTTATTTTGAAATTTGATCACATGATAAAATAGCGAGAAAAAATGAAAACTTACCTCTGCCACTTCCTTCTGGAAAGTCAGCGTCATCTGGGTTCTGCCATAAGCAAAAGGCCCATCTCTCTGAGAAACATTTTCAAGCCACTTGATTATCAGTGGAGTTGATACATTAAAAGGCAGATTTCCAATAATATGTACATTTGGAGGATCTGGTTGGCAGGAGAAAAAACAACTTGAAATGATTTCATCAATATAGTTTGAATACAATTTTAGTTAAGCATAAAGTCAAACTAAATTATGAAAAGCATCTAATAAAAATATATGAAAAACCATGGTTGAGCAGTTTCCACTCCGTTATTCTTCAAAAGCAATGCTTTTTCACAATCAGCTTTGCGTTATTAAGAAAAAAAAATTCCACCTGTTAGTGTCCAGTCAGTGAAAGTCCTCAGATTTTTGGCTTAGGAAAAAGATAAAAAAGGATTGCCTGGAGGGAAAGAGAATTTGCTCTGGACTTGAAGAGGTCAATGTGCCCGCGAGGTGTGCAGATGAGCCTGTCTGGGGGTCAGAGCCCTGGAAGGGGACACAGTCTGGATATAAAGTTGCAAGTGTGTGCGACCGGAGGTGGCGGCGAAACCACAGGAGAGGAGTGGTTTGGGCGGGTCTGCAGCAGGAGAGAAGACGCCCAAGGAGAAGAATCTCGGAGCCAACATGGAGCAGGTGGGCGAAAATCACCACCAACAAAGAACAGTCAGAGAAAGCTCACAGCGAGGTGAAAGGGAAAGAGGAGGGTCTGGTGTCAGGGAAGACAGGAGCAGAGACATCTTCGGGGAGAGAGTGGGTACCGGTCCGATGAACCTGGCGAACTCAGCAGACAGGGCTGGACACCATCAGGAGGTCCTGGCTGGGGCGGGGGCGGGGCTGGGAAGACTGGCAAGGCGGAGGGGCCAGCACCAGCCACTCAGAAGGAACTGGGCTGAGGAGGCCTGGCGCCCGGTGGCAGCTAGGTGGCGGTGCACTGAAATCTCCCCGACTGTTCTGAGAGGTGTTCTGGTCAAACACAGCCTGTTTATCTATGTTTTCCAAAGAGCTGGACACAGGTTCTCAGTCAACCTGCCCGTGAGTGCAAAGTGCCCGGTTGGTCAGAGTGTGGAAGACAACTGATACAAAATTAAAAGAAAGATTTGGGTATGGCTTTGCTTGTTTTTACCATTTGGAAAAGGTGACACCTCATAGCTATCCCAGCCCTATGTGGTATCATAAAAATGACAAGTTTATTGGAAGAGAACCGAAAACATTTGAAAAATGAGACAAACACATCAAAATTTTTAAAAAGCATTAACAAATTTTATATTTTGGAAGTGGGAAAGCAAAATAAAATTATAATGCATATAACCTATTCTGTTCAGATCATTTTAATATAAATATATGACATTTGTATGTTATATAGATACTTCTAAAAGATATTTCTAAAATATTTGTAATATAAATAATTACCAAAAATATATATAAGAAAACCAATCCAAAGTCACTTACCATCCTCCCACTGTCTTTTAAGACATTCTGGAAAAGCCTTTTCTATCTTGAATGTCAACACATCTCCATGCACAATTCTCAGTTTTCCAGGGGCTGCATCAGAAAGCATCTAGTTTACAGAAAGGTCAATAAAATGAGCTCACACACTTTGGCAAACACTGAAACTAATTTTTATTTTATTTTTTTACTTCAAATCTGTGATTAAATCAATCTGAAAAGTCAGAGAGTAAGCGTGACCATTAGTGAAGTAATAGTACGTGGTATCCACACAACAGCCTTTTAACATATGAATGGGGACAGGAACAGAAGACAGTAAAAAAATAGCTTAAATTTCACAAATGACATATTAGTGTAATTTTGACCCTCAGAATGACCTGTATTTCTGTGTGGATTTGGCAAAATTTATCCCATCAGTAAGTTTTCAAATTAGTGACTAAACATTGCAGTGAAACACTGTGAATTAGGAGTAAATCACATGGAAGATGAGCTTAATTCAACTAAACTTTTACAGCCTAAATATGCACACAGGATTCTATACATCACCAAGATCTTTTCTTAATCTGAGGGTAGATTCAAACCAGGCAGTCATTTGCTGTGGCCGAGCTGCATGGGGTACTCTGAGACCCCCCTGACCAGAGCGTCCCTAATCTTGTATTTCCTGACCCACAGGCACTTTCAGCCTAATGAATTAATTATCCTAGATGTTTTAATAGCTACATCCCTGCCTATTCCTACCTTCTAATAATTTGTTTTCCTCCCTTTTCCTTCAATCTTTCTGGGTGGAAAGGAAAAAATATGGGGGGGGGGCATGAAGTACCCTTTCCTTTATCTTTTTTCCCTTCATTTCATCCACTTTAGTACCATACCTTGAGAAATGCTGTGTTGGCACCTAGCTAAAAAGAGCCTTACAGCTGAGCCTCTGTGAATTTGTATTGTGTTAAGAGCCCTGTATCCAACACAAAACTTGATTCTTGAAGTCCTTGGTAAATAAAACCAGACGAATACAGTCAATGAGAACAAACAATGCTAAAGCAGATTACAAAGGAAGAGGTGACCCTCCTCCACATTAAGTCTCAGCTCAGGGAGCTCAGAGAACCTCAGCTCCAGGTCAGGGAACTTTGGCCCTGAGCATCCCTTGGTCTTGCTTCTCTAGCTCAATTCAAGCTAACTTTCTCTCCTAACTCTCTCCTTGCCTTACCAGGCAACTGACAGGAAGGATGCAACAAGCACCGCAGAAGCCGGAGAGAAGACATGGACCACCGTGGTCAGCACTGTGCCTTGCACATGCTTCTCTGTAGCACTTACAGTGCACTGCATCACAATTATGTATCTACAGGTTCTTCCCCTGTGACGATGTGTGCTCCTTAAGGGCAGCACCTGTTTCTTTTTCTTTTTTTATCCTCACCTGAGGACTTTTTTTTCCATTTTTCGTTCAGATAGAGTGGGAGGGAGAGAGAGGAAGAGAGAGAGAGAGAGAAACATCGACGTGAAAGCGACACATCGAGTAGCTGCCACCCACACGACCAACCAGGGCCGGGGACAAACTGCAACCGAGGTACGTGCCCTTAGCAGGACTGAACCTGGGTCTCTCTGGACCGCAGGCCGACGCTCTAACTGCTGAGCCAAACTAGCCAGGGCAGCACCTGTTTCTTATCTACCTTAAGGTCCCCTGCAGTCATAACAGTACAGAGTGGGCGCTTCATACGTATCTGACGAGTGGATGACCAGATGGCATTCAGTTTTTTGTGAAGCTGGGAACTTCCTAGCCTGCGAGATTGTGGGTTCCACATATTTGTGAGGTCAATTAACTGGCAAAGACTTATTTCATTGATAACTCGGGCAGAATTATACAAGTAAGATTTCAGAAACAGAGCTGAATTGCCTATACTGGTAAGAGGCTAAACATTTTCAGTTTGGGAATCATCTAGTTTGATATATTTAGCCATGGTAGTTCAGCAAAAACAAATGGGTACCTCTGATATTAAAGTACTTACGGATCATTTTAAATTACCACAATTTGTTAAAATTTAATTTGATGAGTCCCAGACATTAAATTTTAGAAAACATAATAACTCCAATATACTATAAATAAAAAAGGAGCTAGCTCTCTATGGGACAGGCCCTTACTGTATAAAAACTGTGTACTTAATGATAGCATTTACCGTCAATGAAGAACATTAGAGTTTTTCTATAATTATGCTTCACATAATTAAAACCAAACAAATTAGCATACCCAAAACAAAGAGGCAGAACTAAAAGCCTATGCTTCATGATGTCAATATATAGAAAGTAATTAGGTAATTAGTAATTAAGACTCAAACCAAACAAAACAATGTAAACTCGGCTCTTTGGCATTCATTTACATGCTCTGATAACTCAACCATGTTTGAGATGTTCATTTTCCCACACTGACACACAGTTCCTATCTATACCAGGAAACTGATCTAACACATTTACCTTCCTTTCCTAGGTCTAAAGTTAATTTCTATTATATATTTTTTGGATCCCACCTCAGGCTGAAATCTCGGTCAATAACAAACCAAATCTTCCCATTCCTTACAAGGTCTGCCTTGTCCACGACCACTTTGTAGCCTGAGCTTCCTCTTTCCCACTCCCCACTGCAGAAGGAATGAATGCTGGGCTTCACAGCTTTATGTGAAGGGTCTGGAGCAACTATGGGGGAAAAAGTGCTCCCCAAACTGAAATGACAGTATGATTACAGACAATAGCCATTTAAACACCTGATGGTAGTCAGCAATGACACAGACTCTCTAACCCCTTATAGAGAAAAACGTTTTCATTATCATAATATTTGGGGGTGATGGAGGAGCAGGAAAGATCACTGTTACTGCCTTGGTGCACAATGTCAAACCCTAGAGGTGCTACCCCCGCCTGTGTCCGGGAGACAGCGGGCTGTGAGTACTTGACTGCAGCCAGATGAGTCCTCACACAGACACTCTGAAATTGCCCCATCGCTCTTACTTTCGTTTTCAATCCTATACTCTTCCAAAGTGAGATGTAAGCAAGCTTAGAGTAAAAGGATTCTTTAAATAAGACTGTGAGATAAGAAACAGAAAGCCAAAGCAGGAAAAGAAGAAGCCTGTATGTAAATCGCGAGAGCTAGCAATCCTAGAGGTCAGCGGTCGTGACTGTCACGAACGGTAGAATTCTCACTCTCTGCTGGAAGGGATGATACCAAGTCTCCCAGAGAGAGAATGTTTCTTTCTGGTGTTAGGTTTCGCAAAGCGTACATGGCCCAGCGTCACGGAGAATGCTTTCACTAAAAGGAGAAAACAAAAGCAGAAGCGTTCTTCATATGTACATCTAAAAGTCTCCCTCTCCTAGCAAGTCAAGGGCGGGGGGCACACTGTCCTACAGGAAGCAAGTGACCGTGGTCCACCTAGCCAGCCTGTGCCTGATCTGATTTGGTGACAAAAGAATGTATGCAATTCTGGGAACTTGTGTACGATTATAAAGTCCTTGAAAACAAAAGACTATATCGAAGAGCCATTCTGTATATTTTATGCCACCTTCTCATGGCGAGGGGCTTACGGCAGCCAACACTGTACGTGGGCTGTGAACACCGGTCACACAGCTCAGCGATATGACCTTCTTCCTGACTCAGCAGGAATCCAAACACTTGAAATAGGCGCTGGGCAAAACTGTTAGGCAAACTATATGAGAATTAAAAAAAAAAAAAAAATCTATGCCAGGGAATATGATAGAGAAATACAATTTTTATTCTTATACAGACACACAGAAAAGACTAATGCTATTTTTTAAAAGGAATTCAAGACATTACAATAGATTATTCTTAGTGTGAAGATTACAGCATGATTTTCAAATGTCAGCTTGATCTGCTGCTTAAACAGGACCAGAACACGTCCAGTAGAAGCTCATTTACTTGGCCTCACGAAGGAATCGGATGTTTGATTCAGTGAATTTTTTGTTCAACCAATGTTTACGCCTTTAAATGTTAATATTCCTTAAGAAGACATACATGGAAATCTTTCTAAACTCATCGCGCGATTCCTTCTGTAAGCCGAGCACAATGAACCCAGTTTCACCCTCTCCTTGATGCCTTTTTCATTTCTGCCTGTTCAGTAATGGCTTCAATGGTTATGACCCCATCTACAGTGCTATTTTCCCAGTTTTTATATTTGCTTTCTATAGCTTTTCTGCCACAGTAATAACTGACTTTCTGCTGCTGTCAGTGGGTCTGCTTCTGGCACTGAGCTCCACACCTTCGATCTGAGGTGGATGGGAAACCACTTGGGCATCGGCTATCTTTCCTTCACCTGTTGAGTTCTGTCTAGTCATGACTAATATGGTTCTAGCCATATCAAGTGGGTTATATGTGCAAAATGTGTAATTATGTCACAACAGAAAATCAAGCAGTCTCCCTTTTAAAAAAAAAATTTTTTTTCCTCTATTGATTTTAGAGAGAGAGGAAGGGAGAGGGAGAGATAGAAACATCGATGAGAGAGAACATCGACTGGCCGCCTTCTGCATGCCCCCTACTGGGGATCAGGCCCACAACCTGGGCATGTGCCCTGACCAGGAATCGAACTGGCGACCTCAACCACTGAGCCACACGGGCCGGGCAAGAAATCTTCCTTTTTTAAAGTCTGCTAGAGATAAAAGAATTTCAAAATATTATTATCTCTTACTTAAAACCACTCCTTTTGCCAGGATAACTATATTACATTTTATGTCCCTTTATAAGATGATGGGAAGGGGAATAACTATAACAGCAACCACTGATTGGCTACTGGCAATATACCAGGCTCTTTACATAAATTCCTGTCTATCCTTGCAATAACCACAAAAGATCTGTTATTCCCAGACAAGAAAGCTGAAGCTAAAAAACGGCCCACAATAAGCTCAAGGTCACAGAGCTAGCGGCATTCCTGAGATGTGAACACCAGCCTACTGGAGTCCCCACCCTGTGAACTTCCCACTCGGTCTATCAAGCAGACATAGTCACTCTGTTTACCTGTTATAAAACCCAGAGGCGATACTAACAATAATCAACGCCTTACTATCTCCAGAAGTCCCCCAAATAAGCACGTAACTTAAAGGTCAAGAAGAATCCCAGGGCTTCTCACT